TGTATCGCAGGCCCAGTGAGAGAGCGAAGAGTCTGTCCACACTCACAGCGGTGACGGTCATCAAAGACACTGCGCTAAATCCCAAGATTACAATTTCTGCAAACGCACTTAAGTGATAGCAGAGATGTTGCTTTTCGCTCATCTGGAGAAGCAGCTCCACAGCAAAGATCGGCTGAGAAATCAGACCGACACAAAGATCTGTGATTGCCAGGCAACAAAACATGACCTTTGACGGCAGACGAAGGGAAGAATCCTTGTAAAGGGCCACGAGAATTAGAATATTTTCCAGCAAAGCGAAAGTGGAAAGAAAAAGATTAAATGCAGCAAGAAAAATGTCGTGACGAGGCGTATGTATGTCGACGCAAAGAACAACTTTGGTTGTTGGATGGTTCTCATTTTCGCTCGAGCTCAACATTATTTATTCTGAAAATGAAACACATGAAAAATATGAGTACAAGAGTAATACTTGATAGAAAGTCCCAATGTGGTTGACAGATTGCGGTAAAACGGCCAAAAAATTTAGCTTTAGGCGTGAAAATTGCAAAATTTAACTTTTCGTTGTAAAAAAGAAGTAAACCGTAAAAAAAATATACATATTAAGATGACCACAATGAAATGATATTAACTGCAAGAGTTAGCCGTAAATTGGCAAAAAATTTTAACCTCTTGCCCTACAGTTATTTGACTCAGGCAATGAGCATTGCATCGTATTACTGTCTTTCGTTCTGGTCCTCCCTCTTTTCTTCCATGCACATCGCACATCTCTTGGGGCCATAGACTCAGCAGTCAAACATCTGCGCATAAGCGAACGTTGTAATGATTAACTACGTTGGCGCTTTCAGGTTGTCAGAACTAAGTCATATCACACGAGAAACAAAGAACCGAACAAGTCAGTAAGTCACAGTGTAATAACAGCGAAAACTTTTTGAGTAAAACCAGGAGCCTGGTAAAGCTCAAAAAACAGATCTAGAAAGGTAAATAAACAGGACACCTGTACTTGAATACGCCTTACGTCAATGAAGTCTCGGTTTTCCTTCCCCGTTTTTCCTCTCCATTAGCAGATTTTTATGAACGCTTCATCCTACTTTCACTTTGAAATTCTGTGCAAGAAATTAGCGCGCAGCCAGCCAGCGTTGACCCCAGCGTGCATGCCTCGCATTTGACTGCTGTGTTGGGCTAATCAGCTTTTCTCTGCTCGCACCACAGTATAAGGACCTCAAAGGGGGATTTTATTGTAATGGTTTTCATCATTTATTACACCCATTTTGAAATCACTGGTGGTCCCTGTAATCT